TACTTTCTGGTAGAAATGCAAATACTGCTACCAGTAACTCTCGAAGATATCCAAACCCTCTGATATTTTTAGCAATCCAATACATACACTCACCGGCCACTTTATTAGGTACACCTGTCCAACTGCTCGTTAACACTTAATTTCTAAGCAGCCAATCACATGGCGGCAACTCAGTGCATTTAGGCATGTAGACATGGTCAAGATAATCTCCTGCAGTACAAAGCGAGCATCAGTATGGGGAAGAAAGGTGATTTGAGTGACTTTGAACGTGGCATGATTGTTGGTGCCAGAAGGGCTGGTCTGAATATTTCAGAAACTGCTGATCTACTGGGATTTTCACGCACAATCATCTCTAGGGTTTACAGAGAATGGTCCGAAAAAGAAAAAACATCAAGTGAGCGGCAGTTCTGTGGGCGGAAATGCCTTTTTTGATGCCAGAGGTCAGAGGAGAATGGCCAGACTGGTTCGAGCTGATAGAAGGGCAACAGTGACTCAAATAACCACCCGTTACAACCAAGGTGGGCAGAAGAGCATCTCTGAACGCACAGTACGTCGAACTTTGAGGCAGATGGGCTACAGCAGCAGAAGACCACACCGGGTGCCACTTCTTTCAGCTAAGAACAGGAAACTGAGGCTACAATTTGCACAAGCTCATTGAAATTGGACAATAGAAGATTGGAAAAACGTTGCCTGGTCTGATGAGTCTCGATTTCTGCTGCGACATTCGGATGGTAGGGTCAGAATTTGGCGTCTACAACATGAAAGCATGGATCCATCCTGCCTTGTATCAACGGTTCAGGCTGGTGGTGGTGGTGTCATGGTGTGGGGAATATTTTCTTGGCACTCTTTGGGCCCCTTGGTACCAATTGAGCATCGTTGCAACGCCACAGCCAACCTGAGTATTGTTCCTGACCATGTCCATCCCTTTATAACCACAATGTACCCAACTTCTGATGGCTACTTTCAGCAGGATAATGCGCCATGTCATAAAGCTGGAATCCTCTCAGACTGGTTTCTTGAACATGACAATGAGTTCACTGTACTCAAATGGCCTCCACAGTCACCAGATCTCAATCCAATAGAGCATCTTTGGGATGTGGTGGAACGGGAGATTCGCATCATGGATGTGCAGCCGACAAATCTGAGGCAACTGTGTGATGCCATCATGTCAATATGGACCAAACTCCCTGAGGAATGCTTCCAGCACCTTGTTGAATCTGTGCCATGAAGAATTGAGGCAGTTCTGAAGGCAAAAGGGGGTCCAACCCGTTACTAGCATGGGGTATCTAATAAAGTGGCCGGTGAGTGTATATTATTTATAGACCAATGATATGAAACCATGCTTTAATTTTTGGTTATTACTTGTTTAAAAAAAACAAAACAAGTTTTTTTTTTTTCTACTCTGAAAAGTACAGAGTGCTTTTGTGTTTTGCATGCATAAACTTATTTTATAATTTAAACTGGATGCTAAAGAAAGGACTTTTGTTTTCCTATAGTTTTGACTTGAAACCTTGACTTCCTAAAACCAATCAATCAAACGCGTCTTTTTAAATCTTGAATTTTAAAAGAGCATTGCCAAGGTTTAAGGTTTAAATATGACTTTCTCACATGCCATTAATTTTAAAAGAGTTTTCTTCTTTTTACCACAGCTGCCTCTATATAGTCTTCCATAGTCATTAGTCAGATCATGAGATGGCGATTCTGGTCATTTTCTCTGGGCCTGCACATGGGTGTGACATGCTGCATGCTCTAATTCACCTGGCTACTTTGTTGAGTCTCTGCTGCCATTTATGCTTTAGCAAGAGAACACAGAAAACTCAGTATGTTTGTGTAGTCATGTTATCAGAACCTTTAAAATCTTTTTTGAATGACTCCCTTTTAATTTAAACTTTTTTTTTTTTTATTTTCAAATTAAAAACAGAAAACAAAACAGATTTTACTTCCCTGTTCCCATTATTTAGAAGTACAAAACCAAGCAAAAATCTTAACAAAAAATAACGACCAGTTTTGGATTTGTGAAATCCTTTTGGCATTTTGTTTTGCACAGTTAAAAGACATAGACAGGTTCATAGAAGGTTCAGAAGTGCAGGTAAAATTTCGAAAATAAAAGCCAAGATAAACCTTTATCATAATGCAAAATAGTTACAGAAGCATAGAGCAGTCCAATGAATAAAAAGGGGACCTTTTCAAGTTACGACATGACTGTTTATTGTAAAAACGTGAGCTTTATTAGGTTATGTGTTTATTCATGGAGCATGAAACACCAAAGGTTGTATGCAGATGCTGTAAAATAGAAGTATTACGGCAATTGTTCTCATTAAGCAAAGCTTTTAAGTTTTATTAAGTAGTTAATAATTTCACTCTATTGTTGGACACAGGAATACATTTAAGGAACAGAGTAGGCCTATTTAACCCACTTGTGCAGAGACAGGATGTGTGATTAATGTGTATGTGTGTGTTGCTTTTAGTGAGCAGCAGTGTTCACCCCAATGGTCTCTGCCTTCTCACAACTAAACTTGAAATGACAGACTTTATGCATTGCTGGGATAATTAAGGGTCACGGGTATGCAGAGCTATTGCTGAAATTGGCATATATGCCTGCCCAATGTAAATACTTAGGTTGATAAAACAATAAAGCATAATGTTATAAAGCTCACATTTTTACAATGAAATATTATGTCATAACATGAAAAGGTCCCTTTTTCTATTCAGAGGACATCTATTCATCCATTCATCCATTATCTGACACACTTGTCCCAATTGGGGTTGCAAGGGGTGCTGGTGCCTATCTCCAGCAGTCAATGGGCGAGAGGCGGGGTACAGGTGGACATCTCTGTTCAGTACCTATTTATCTCTTGGCTTGCATTATGTTATCTTGTACATAGCACATAAAAAGATATTAGTAAATATGCAGTTCTCTTTGGTGGTGCTGTGGTACTGCCACACAATCATACCCAAATCACAGGCAAAATATGGAGCATGTGCAGACAGCTCATTGCAGTGAGGAGACACAGAAGTTAGAGGCAGGTTGAGCCACAGCATCATGGTTTAAATAAAAGATACAGCTCGCATGTACACACTGAAACATGAAACAGGCCTTTTCTGATTTCCCACTCTCTGACCCAGTTTCAAAACATCCTTTATGCTTTTACAAAATGCTGGCTACTTGCGGATACATAACTTGAGCAACAAATTGTTTTTACACCTAAACCTTTTCCCGTGTGGATAGGTTCTACAAAGTACCATATTGTGAATACCCTCAGTTTTTTCATTTTGTATTATGATACATGCCTGAGACCAGAATTTGACTCTGAAACAAGTGTTGCTAATTCTGCAATTATAACTTGTAACTTTGGCCGATTTCAGATGGCCACTGAATCAGACATCTACATTTAAAAAAACATGCAAAGAAAATAGATAGGATAAAACTTCTGTCTGTGAGGTTTAAATGCCATTTGTTAATTCATCTTAAGTTATGTTTGAATCGGTCTCCGTCAGTCACGTGACATTTGTTGCTAAGACGCCATTTTAGGTGGAAAAGGCGTAGTGTAAACAACCGCAGCATAGCTAAACGAAGGACTAAAGGCCCGTTTACATAGCAGCCTGTCCAAGATAAGTCATTACAGTTAACATAAGCCTGAAAACAGGGGCGGATTTAGGAAAATCGGTCTCCGCCAGTCACGTGACATTTGTTGCTAAGACGCCATTTTAGATGGAAAAGGCGTAGTGTACCGCGCCCGAGGTAAACAATTGACGTCACTTGGCGGAGACCGATACCCAATTATTGTTAGAACAAAAGGGCTTGTGGGGGGACAATGGCATAGGATGCAAACTTTCATTCTGCAACCAGAGGGATCTGTAAATGGTAAATGGACTGTAATGATTATAGCACATTTTTAAATCAGAAGACTTGATCAACACACTTTACACAACATGCATTCATTCATGCATTCACGCACACAAAGACTGATAGTTTATGTAATGGGTTCATTGCAACAGGATTTATAGACAGGTATATGTCCTGAGCTATCTCTGTAGTTATGCTGCTATAGGCGTAGACCTCTGGAGGACATAGGGACCCTCATTTCATCATTCTATCTCTATTCTTCCACTCTGCAGAATCTGTTAGCCTCTCTAACGTTATGCTCTCTCTGCTTGTTCTCATAGAAGCTTTGCCTCATCTGTTCCTGTCTGGCTGTGACACCATCCTGGAGAGAAATATCAGCTGTGCTGCTGCCATTAACACCTTTGTTTATAGATGTTGGAGATCGGCCTGTTTTCCAGTGTAGTCCTGTTTCTCTTGACTGTGACTGGATGGATGTGCTCTCTTCAATCTCTGACATGGGTGTCGGCTCCAAGCTCGTCTGCCTGGCTGTGTAAAACAGTTTCTATTGTATGCCAAACTGTCTGTTGGTAGCTTTTGCTATTTGTATTTTCAACATCCATTAAGTTGTTAGAAGTTTTTTTTATGTATTGTGACCAGTGATATAAACACTAAAATCATTGTGACAGGCGGTGGAAGAACATCAACTTTCATCTTACCAGACCTTCAAACAGGGAAGTCCCTAAGAATAAAAGAGATAAGGCTTCAAATATATTTTATTTGGTTCACAATTTACAGAAAATGTCCTTGACAAAAAACTTTGACACAAGGTAACTATAGAGGAAATTTTAAATAGAGACAAGATCAAGACATATTAAAATAAAGACAGGGAACTAAGTTTGTCCATAGAAAGTTTGCAGGAACATTCCAATGGAAACTCAATAACACTTAACCCTTGAAAACAAAACAACAACAACAAAAGTCCACTGGGTTTTACTAGCCTATTTATTTTGGCATTCATACAAAAAACTTGCAATCTTCCGGTGTCACTATTTTAAAAATCAGAGCTTACTGAAGATAATCTTTTAATCTCTACTAGCTTTTACAAATATTACATCTAACATGAAGTGTATATAACAGAAAGTTTTTTTTTCGCACTAAAATTGTTTATTAAATCAATATTAAGTAAAAGATTGCATACAACAAAAAACTCTTTGTTATGCTCAATCCATTCATTTTAGGTATTACATCCTTAAACTGAAACTAAGTAAACCCCCTAAAGTGAATAGAATGGATTTCTACAAAGCACACAAAGGAGGATGTCTAAATATTTATAGTATATTCAGATGTTATGTGTTTTAATTGTTACCTAAACAAAAAGTGATTCATTAGTATATTAAAGATGATTCCTATAAGACATTTAAAGATGACTTTGCTGCAGCTTTCTTGGTAGTCCTCTTCTAGGTTGAAGGTTTTTCTAAACAAAAAAAAAAAACACATTTCATTAGAATTAAAGATGTTTAAACATCTTCTTGTGTTTTTATTCTTTTAATTTTCTAAAATTTTCTAAAAATGAATAAATAAAAATAACAGGTTGCCAAGGTAAAAAGGAGGGGATGATCAAAATCAAGAACAAATGTAAGGGATAAACATTTTTTGTTGTGCATCATTTTCTTAAATGTTCTTTTTAGGGTAAAAACATACAAAAGAGGATTAGGGCCACTGAAAAAAAAAAAGTTAACTGATTTTAAAATTTTATTTCAGTTTAGCATGGGAATTTTGACTTTAATCTCAGAATTCTGACTTTTTTTACTGTCAGAATTCAGTCAGAATTTTGAGTTTAAAGTCAGAATTCTGCCATACTAAACAGAAATAAAATTAAAAAATCAGTTAACTTTTTTTTTTTTTTTTTTCCCAGTGGCCCTAATCCTCTTCCGTAAAAACAAGACTACAGCATTTTATTTAGTTTGGGGATCCTATTTACAGCTCATTACATGACACATTTGCTGACATGTGAGAAGTAGGATATTTTGTATTTTTTTAGTATACAAAATAATGCATATACATTTTTCTTTGAAAAAATGTTGTTCTCCCAAAAGCCTTTCTTAATAGATCTGCATAAACACAGCATATGAGATAAGAATGGAAAAGGCTGGAATGTGTGTTCAGATTCAACCTTTTTAACCTACCTGGCTTCTTTTTCCAGGTCAGTTTGAAGTCAGTCACACCTTGGTTTACAAGCAGTGCATGCAACTGAAACAGGAGGACAGGAAGAAATCTTAAATAAAAAAATAAAAAAAAATTCTTAAATAGATTCCTTAATATGTCTCTCTGTAATTAGTGTACTAGAATAAAATCCAGAATTGAATAGAGTAATTACTGTAGTTTGTTTAACAAGAGTGGTTCAATTGTGATGCCGATTCAAAAAAGCATTGAAATGTGATATCTAACGGTGTAACTTTTCTCAGCCAGTAAGTAGTTGACAGCTAACATTTGATCTCAGAGGGTGGTATTAAATTACGAGGTAGGAGGTTAATGATTGGCCGAAATATATAAAGGTTTTACATATTAAAGTGACAAATCAAATTTGTGTTAGTAGCTTGTGAGCAACAAGCACCCCTGATCTAGAGTAATATAACCCTGTTTTGAAAAGTCTAAGTATTGTAAATTTTAGAGTATATTAATGACCTATGATGTGAAGTTAAATGGTAAAATAGACCTTTAGCTGTTTCCCAACTTGAAAGCTGCAATCGGAAGCCAGCTTCAGATATTATATTAAAGTCTGTTGTAGTGGATAACCAACCAAGGCATGTTGGTCAGTAGTCTCTCTAAGCATGCCAGTCAAAAAGGAGGGACAACTGGGTCAGATGTCCAGGGCCCAGGGTCGAGGTGGGGCCCTGAACCAGCCTCTTACATCTATGGCCAAAGGAAATGTTTTTCTTTTTCAAAACAATGTTTGCAAAGAAATACCGCTTTATTCTTAAGTTACATACAAACTTTTTCTATAATTACTTTATTCCAAATGTCCACTGCAGTACTGAGAGAGGGCCACCACCTACCAGACCTTCTCAACGGCTATGCCGCTGATGCAGCTTCTTTAAAGTTTATCAAGTTGTGATACATGAGACTCACTGTTCTGCGGGTACAGACAAGAAAATACAGATCGTAGATTTTCATCCAGATATTCTATGTGCAGGTGGTCAGTATCCTGGCCAGCCAGACTGAGTTACTCTCCATGTAATTCAGTCTGTTAAACAGCCATTGACTCAGGCCAAATTTGGCCAGACCAATCACAGCGCAGGAGGCGGAACGATTCAAGACTCCACAGTTTCTCACAATGCAGAAGACATAGTTTCATTTTCTTCGACGGCTTGACATGTTTCACGTTTGGAGTTTATGCGACACACCTGTGGTTATTGGATTGTTACTAACCCGATGACGAAATTTCACCCGAATATTGAACTATGTTAGTCCTGCCTCTGAAATCGAACTCTACCAGTTCTTTATCAGACTGATCCGCCATCTGGCTGGCCAGGCTGGGTGGTCACAGCCTTTAACCCCTTTGATGGCGCAAAAAGCTTAGCTGTCAAGGATTTATTTTCCACTGAAAAAAAATTAGAGCGCTATTTACTTAGAAAAAGCTAGATACATTTTTCCACATAGAAATTCTTTGTAAATTTCACTAAATAAAATCTAAGTTAAATTGAACTTATTAAGAAAGATTGATTTAACAAACAAACTCAAGTGAAGTTTACTACAGAATTTCTCTTATCAAAGAATAGGTACTTTTATTTTGCAAGTAAATTTTACAAAGAGAGGCACAGAGACATACAACCATGCACACACAAGAATTTAAGGTTTTGGATTGTGGGAGGAAGCGGGGGAATGTGGAGAGAACCCACGTATGCATGGGGAGAACACGCAAACTGGAACTGGGATTGAACTGAGAACATTCTTGGTGCAAGGCAAGTGCTACAAACTGCACCACTTAGCAGCCAAAATGTGCCAATATTTTCCAGTGTGTGCGTAATAATCTTAATTATGATGCACATACAGTACTTTAAGGTAAATGTATCCAAAAATGAACTGAGGTTTAATGTTCCCACAATATATAATGCAAAAGCACATCTATTCTTTACCTGCTGCTCAAGTTCAGCACTGACTCTTGGGTCCCCCAAGTTTGCAGTGGTCTGGATTTTCAGCTTCACCACGGTTTTCTTTGATTCCTTTACCTCTGGAGCTTAAAAGAAACAGTAAAACGTAGCTACCGGTAGTTACTTAAGCAAACATCTAAACAAAAGTGAATAACAAAGGATATCCTTTCATTGTGCTTAATATAAACAGTGTTTTTGGAATACTTTATCTGTGTCACCAAGCCACACATTTTTACTTTTGTGGGATTTTATGAAACAGATCAATAAATATGCAATGAATTAAAAATGATATAAAGTGGTTTTTACAAATGTACCTCGACATTAAATCTAGATCAACTTATTGCTTTAAATTTCCCCAAATAAAAAAATATTGTAGGGTTCGCTTGTGTGCAAATCAGCCTTATCATTAATACAGCTATTCTGTAAAGCCCTCAGGCATATTTAAGTGAAGCATAAGTGGAAAAAAAAACACAATAACATCAAGTAACAAACTCTTAACAGATTAAGACAAAACTCGTGGAGGGATTTACATCTTGGATGGATTATAAAGAGAGCTATTTTTTTAAGAGGACTTTAAAGGAGAGTCATTTTAGATATCTGGTAGTAAAAGCCCAATAGACTTGAATTATTTTCAAGATGTCTTACTTTTCATTTAAGGAGGTAAGAATGTCATTTTTATTGTCTGAAATGTTAATTTTGACTAGAAAGAAAACATGGTTAAATGTTGAGGATTTCTTAGTATCTAAAAAATCTTTCCTATCGGTATACTGTTATTTTTTTGACATTCTGAAATTCAGTTTCAGCTGCCGGTAGCTAAAATGTGGTTTAGAAAATCTCTTACTACAGTTCTGACTAGTAGGGATTTATATTTTGACCAGAAGCACTCCAAATTTAGCGATCTACAAATGGAACAGCAAGGTTTTAATAAATGTTAATAGGCCTGCCATAGAAGACTATGTAAAAACCTAAGCATTAACTTGAACAGCAATCTTTTTCTACACCATCTCCTTCTCCTTTGTAGCACTAGCACTGTTGCTCTCTAAAAAACAAACAAACAAAATAAACCCTATCCTTCTGGTCACTGTATACCTTTACAAAAAGTTCTAGCCTCCGTTGTCATGGTAAATCACCCATTGATCCAAGTAGCCAAGGCGGATTATCCATCGGAGTCATAGTGACAGAACTGCACACTATCAAATCTCTTCCCCTCTTTCCCGAAGCACATGCTTATGCTCTAAACAGGCTTACAGACCTTTGGGCCATTTACCAGCATAGCACATGGATGTGTGCAAGTGAAAATCATGTGCACTGACCAATCAGCCACTTGGTCAAGTTGACAAAGCACATGATCAGTCAGAGGAATAGTGACAAGACCACAATGTCACACACCTATAATAAGGATAATTTAAAGATCTATTCTGGATTAAACAGGGAGCCAATAAAGGGATGCTAAAATAAGAAATATATAATCTTTTTTTTTTCTTTTATCAGAACTCTGACTGTAGCATTTTTGGTCAGCTAAAGGCCTTTAACTGCATTTTATGAAATTCCTCATATTTAAGGATTACAAAAGTCGAAGCTTAAAAGAGAAAACTACATGGACTAGTTTTTTTCATCACCTGGAATGGATTGTTCTAATTTTAGCAATATTGCAGAAATCAAAGAAAGAAGCGCTGGGAACCTGTTTTAATAGAGGATTTAACTATTGCACCAAAGCTTTGCCGTTTTTTTAATCGTTGGCCAAAATAATGGCATCCCGATCATAACATTGTGAGCTTGGGATAATAACGTCTGACTTGTATGGATTCAGATGCAGAAAAATTTTATTCATTTAGGTTTTCACCACAGGTCTGCTTCATGGGTAAGATTTATCAGGATTTGTGGACAGATTAGATGGTTAAATAGAACAAATGGCAAAAGTTTAAGAGGTATTTCTCCTTTCAATTCATAATTGACATGGGACTTATGAAATATCAATTCGACATGAAAAGACTCACCTGATGTACCAGCTGATGGACCACCTGATGAACCATCTGATGAACCACCTGATGAACCACCTGAGGATCCACTTGAAGAGCCTTTTCTATAATCTACATTCTCTGAGCAAATAAAAGGGTACAACGCATTGCATGACTCTTTTGTCAGGGTCCAGTTTTCCAACCCAATGGCTGCACAAAGTTCATTCTCAGTAACATTTTCCATTTGGCTTTCTGTCCAGTTTTGGGAACTGTAAATTTCTCCAGTGTCATACCAGACCCAAAGAATTTCTCTCCTTATGCCAATCCAGATTTCTGTATTCACAATGGACAACAGATTTCTGATTTCAGCATTCATTGTTTCATCAGAGATTTGGACCAGAGATTCATTTTTAGCCTCACAGTTGATTACGGCGTCCATCCAGTTCCTTTCTGTCTCAATGGAGACACTTGTTCCTGGTGAGATAAAGTTGGTTATACCATGCTATACATGTATGCTGTTTACTTAAAAATAACTCCTTCCCTGCTGTATCTGCTATTTAACAGGCAAATAACATCTAATCTAATAAACAGAATCCACATAGTTTGGGGGGAAAAAACGTTTAAAACCCATAAAAAATAAACAATAAAAGTAAATGTAAAGTTTAACATGAATCTACTTCCACTTTTCTACCATTGTGAATTATAGCTTTTTATAGACTTATACCAAAGTTATATAGGACAGGAAGAAGACAAAGGACTAATTATCTATCTACAAGAAAAAAAGTAATAAAATAAAAAAGTTTGAGTTACATTTTACAGTAACATTTTCATTATTTGTTCATAGAGTTATAAATTTATAAGAAAAAAAAAACAACACAAAATATACACTGAAATGAGAAATTTATGTGGATTTCCTCTATGTGCCACAGGGTCAAATATACTAATATGCTTCTTGTAATATTAAACAGTATGTGTTTAAGATGGCTGGGGAGGGCTGATTTTTAGCTGATTTCTAGAACTCATTGAGTCTTTGCAATCCCTCACATTGAGCATGCATGTAGTGACAGTGGAGAGGAAAACTCCCTTTTAACAAGAAGAAACCTCAAGCAGAACCAGGCTGAGGCCCAATCCCAAACCGGCCCGTAAGCACTAACCCTCCGCTTGCACGTTTCCGCAGGGGGTCCACCACATTAAGTACCATCTGAAACCATGTAGTGGGTAGGGCAAGGGGACCATTCAGCCCTTAAATAGCGAGTCTGCATTAAGTGCAGGCTGGCTGGAATTTGGCAGCAGATGTAACAGCGGCTTGATTGCGGTGGAAACACGTGAATTTAAATGTAAGCTCCAAGGGGTTTGCTGCATATTCATTACACTGACGAAAAATCACAAGTTAGCTATCAGAAAAAGAACGTCATTAATTCCAAAAGGGAAATAGTTTGATTTGGCTGTATACATTTGTTTTAAGAAAGGGGCAAATGTTATGTTTTATGTCTACCTATGTCACAGAGCTACAGCCACGCACATGTGGTGTCATTCTGTTGCCATAATAATAACAGCTTTGTTTTTCTGTGGGAGGGAAGAGGATAGACAACAGTACCATAGTAATACCGCTACATTGAGCACAGTTCGTGGTACTGGCCTCAGTACATGCAATACATGTTTATGTGGTCAGGACTAGGGGTGTAAATAATAATCGCTTTGTATCGATCTATCGATCCAACAGCCGACGATCCGATGCATTGACACGTCCACAAGAGCAGCGGCTTGTGTTTTTTTCCCCCTCCGGTCTATTTTTATCCATTTGCTCCTGGGCGTAATTCTGACTCCCGTGCTGTGGTGGCGCTAAACCTATTTTTCCCTCCTACCTCGCTTCCTGGTTATACTCTTGATGCAGTGTGTCGCAGTGAGCTTGGCGCAGACATTTTTGAAATATGCCCAATATTGACTTGTGGTCTGCGCTATACGCTGTGGGTCTAGATACAGCCGAGGGGGAGAGGAAGTGGGGGCGAGTTTGTCCGACAACAGAGGGACATGAAAGTGAATAATAGCGGGGGATCTAGGTGGAAAATGGGTCCCAGCGGTCTCGCGCACCTCGATCTTCTAGCGGGTCAAACTTCACAGGTTGTTTTCCGCAATTTCGGTCATAAAAACAAAACAAGCCGGTGTAGGTACCAGATTGACTCGGGCTGCCAGATTGACTCGGGGGCCTGCGCCTTTTGATGACGTCACAATACATAATTGTTTTAACGTTTGCACAATTGCGCAAAACATTTTGATTGGTCTGGACAGCTTACTAAAGTAATTATAGCGGGGTGTAGGTTTTATTCGAAAGCGGGATTGCTGTTTGTAAACGGACAATTTTACGAAGACATTCTCCATGGTCCCTGCGCCTTCTGATGACGTCACCGAATTCGCCATGGGCCTTGCGCCTCCCGATGACGTGACATTATGGCAATGCCACTCAAACAAACTACATTGAGCCCGCGGTCTGCATTTGTAACGAGAATAAATTCAGGAGAATGAAGCTAAAGGGATACAAAAAATAAACTTGTAATATTACAAAACCAAAAATACTACGAATACAAAGTATATTCAGAGATTAAAGTCCCTCTGATACTGTTTAAGTGACTGAGAAACTGCAGATTTGCCACATTTAAGATGGCGGACGCTCTGACGCATCTCAAAAGGCGCAGGCCCCCGAGTCAATCTGGCAGCCCGAGTCAATCTGGTACCTACACCGGCCTCCTGTCTGTGGCACTGTCTGCGGTCACCTACAATTTATGGAGAGGTGCAGCAGAGTGTCTGCGGAGAGGGCGGGGATGTATTTTTGTTAACTGCGACACCTACATAGACGACCTAGTTTCGAAGTATAGGGCGAGGAATATATCCAAGCAATGTACAGACATACATCCCTATTGCGTTGTGGAGAACGAAGGCTTCCAATACCTGCTCGACACTCTGGAGCCGAGGTATTTCATTGCACTCATTGCACTGATTTTGTGCAGTATTTTCTGATGCAAGGCCTTTCAGAATCTCTAATACAGGGGCATTTTTATTTTTCAGTGAATGAGATTTTAATAGGCCTAGGTAAAGTACAACTTTTCTACTTCTGTTATTTGCTGTTGTTTCTCAAATAAAATGCATAACGATATTACAACTCTCATTGACTTATTTCAAATTTGAAACATTGTCTAGCCTGTAAGGTGTAAAAAAAAAGAAATGAACCCATTAATTAAAGGCACACTATGCAACATTTTTCAGTTAATTAATGTGTTCCATAACGTTTTGGATGATTAAATGAGTCATTTCAGGTTGAACAAAGGTATTCTCGGCCACCCTGGTGGTCTGTGGGGGAAATACTGCACTTGCAATTGCAGGAGCACCGACCCGCACCCACAGGCTCAGAAGTCTCGCGAGAGTCGGTCTTGCTTTACGGCGAGAACTGCTACACGCCCCCAGTGAAAGGCATGCTCGTTGCTAGCACAGTGGCGATATTTGTGCAGTTATCATGGAGGAACCAGCGAGAAAACAGCGAAAGCCCATGTCGGAGCAGGCAAGAAAGAGGAAAAGGGCTCTGGACAGAGAGAGGAGTCGTACACGGGTGAACATCGGGCAAGCTTTTTCCGAATGGCGAGAGCTAAAATAAAAAGAAGGCTGCAAGGCTGACGTGGACCTCGCGTCCCTGCTGATGCGATTGTAAGCAACATTGGAATGGTTTCTCTCTCTCTGTGTGCATGTTCATACTTTCACTGTGTTAGTCATTCGTTGCGTTCGCCTGTCTGCTAAGCTCAAAACAACCGCGCCTGGCTTGACGGAGAAACCAGGAGAACAGCTGTGCATATTTACGACAGTGCACTTTTACTTTCGCCCTCTGGGGGGAGCCTCGCTGGAAAATCCACACCGGTTGCATAGTATACCTTTAAATCGCATCGTGGTATATTCTTGAGTATCGAAAATAATCGAATCGTTGGCTCAGGATATTGATACTGAATCGAATCGCATGATGGGTGTGATTTACGCGCCTAGTCAGGACTAAGAATATCACCTGAGGCCCTTCAAGGCCAAAAAAATTGGATTTGGGCCAAATTTGTTTGCAGTGTGAACATTACCTTAATTTATTTTTTAATGAGAGTGATAAGAAATTTAAGAAAATATATAATATGGTCAAGGTGTAAGTTGCTAATCTAAGTTATCTGGTGTTCGGTATAGGTGGGTAAAATTCTGACCCTGTGTGGATGAGAATAATTCACCATAAAATCAAATTCACAAACTATTCCTGTTATGTTTTCTTTGTAACTATGAAAGAATGTTGTATAATCTTCCACACCAGAGAAAGAGTGGTTTAAATAAAACGGTAGATGATGAGAATGTATGAAAGAAATGCCAACTTGTGGATGTAAATGTCAAAGAATTGGAAGACAATAAATTTTTTGAGCATCATTTTGCTTGGAAAAATGAAATGTTAATTACAGACCTGTTTTCATAATGATTTTGTTTTTAACATTTTACATTAGACCAAAGTATATCAAATATAGGCAGAATTATACTGACATACCATGTTTACCATATGGCTCTTGCTTATGTTATGGTGAGAGATATTAAGATAAGAAAACTCCTTTATTAATTAAAAAAGGTAATTTTAAAGGAGAAAACCTTTTTTAAGGGAGAGAACGGGAGTTTTATTTTATTCACAGTGATTTTTGTAGAGCACTATTTAGATAATTAATTAAATAGATAAGAATTGATTAAAAACAACTGACATGAAATAACCTTCATTTCAATGCATTCCAAATTTTTAACCCAGATTTTTTTTTTTAACCTACCGTCATAGCAAACAGACTGTTTAAGTTCAGAACAGTTGCAATTATACCAATCTCCAACTTCAGTCATAGACACACACAGTTCACTGAGGAGGTTGTCTGGCTGACCGGAGCTCCAGTTGAAATATTGAGCCGTTTCGTTGCTTATGTGGTGCCATACAGAGGTGCTGGTAATCAGTCCAATCCAGGCCTTGGAGTATCCTGAATTTTTCCAGTTTGAGTGGAACACATCATCTGTTTGAACCAGCGTAGTTTTACCATTAAAGCAGTAACTTTCTGCATCATGCCAGGTCATTGGATAGTCAAAAAACATATATGAAGTGATGGCACAAAAACCTGAGAACAGAAGTAGACTTTTTTTAAATATACACGATGAATTAATTTCAGGCTTGAACTTGTTTCTTTTTAGAGAATTATAACTGATTCTGCTGAAAATCAACTGGTTTTCCATTTACAGTGTTACTCTGAAAACATATTAAAGGCACACTATGCAACATTTTTCAGTTAATTAATGTGTTCCATAACGTTTTGGATGATTAAATGAGTCATTTCAGGTTGAACAAAGGTATTCTCGGCCGCCCTGGTGGTCTGTGGGGGAAATACCGCACTTGCAATTGCAGGAGCCCTCGGCCCGCACCCACAGGCTCAGAAGTCTCGCGAGAGTCGGTCTTGCTTTACGGCGAGAACTGCTACACGCCCCCAGTTAAAAGCATGCTCGTTGCTAGCACAGTGGCGATCTTTGTGCAGTTATCATGGCGGAACCAGCGTGAAAACAGCGAAAGCCCATGTCAGAGCAGGCAAGAAAGAGGAAAAGGGCTCCGGACAGAGAGAGGAGTCGTACACGGGTGAAAATCAGGCAAGCTTTTTCCGAATGGTGAGAGCTAAAATAAAAAGAAGGCTGCAAGGCTGACGCGGACCTCGCGTTTCTGCTGATGCGATTGTAAGTAACATTGGAATGGTTTCTCTCTCTCTGTGTGCATGTTCATACTTTCACTGTGTTAGTCATTCGTTGCGTTCGCCTGTCTGCTAAGCTCAAAACAACCGCGCCTGGCTTGACGGAGAAACCAGGAGAACAGCTGTGCATATTTACGACAGTGCACTTTTACTTTCGCCCTCTGGGGGGAGCCTCGCTGGAAAATCAACACCGGTTGCATAGTATACCTTTAAGAACTGCATTAATGAGCTTAAATAGAGGTTTAACTGAAATTAAAAAGAAGAATAGCAATATCATGTTGGTTACAGAACATGACGGTGGTCATCAGAGAGGCAATCAACAACAATTCATGGTTAAATCTTTCACCCAAGTCTACAGCTGCATATCACCAAGCCAAAATACCATTACAATAAAAAAATATTGATTTCAGTAACTTTGATTAGAGTGGCCTCAAGTGAATGGAAAGCAAAAATTCAGTTTCTCTTAGACTACATATAACAATTTATAATATATATTCACTCAAAAATGTCATGAAGTAATAAGGATGACTGCTGACTTTATGGTAAAAAATGCCCTCCATCTGGTAGGTTAGCCACGGGGCATTGCCTTCCAGATATAGCAGTTGAAATTTGTGTGAAAGGAAAATGGTGTTGTTGAAAAACCAAATTAACAAATAACGTGTAATCACAGCCTTCAGAGGGTTGTGAAGCCCCTTCAGAAACTGGCTGAGAAGAATTCTAAGGCATACACCTGGAGTCAGAACTTTAACCGGTGCCACATACAGACCTACTGTACTAAGGGCTTGGGTTACAACCTAATCCTTCTGTGTTAAACCACAACTTAAACAATGACACCACTTGCATCTGACAGTACTGCGGCTCATTAAAGAAATTTGACTGTTACTCAGTGATCCTCTTTTCAGATTAAAGTATGTTTTGCATTTCATTTTGACAAGGTCCCACAGTCTGGAAGAAGAGTGGAGAGGCAAATTAACCATGTTGCTCGAGTCCAAAGAGAAATGTCCACAGTGAGTAATGAATTATGGGTGCCCTATTATCTGCTTATGGACTACAGTCCTAGAACACAGCCATCTACTATTATATTCTAGAGCACATCATACCTTCCTCTGTTTTCAAGCTTTATCTCTAAAAGTACTAAAAGCTTTTTTTTTTTACTACAATTTAACGTAAAAGTAAATCCACCTGTATATAAGCCATCCGGATTGTACTTATTTTTAATTTTTATTTGTTATTTTTATTTTGTTTTTCATTGTGTGCGATAAATGTACACTTGCACCTTAATCCTTATTTATCTTGATATACTGTATATACCTGGATATACTGTATATATATTGTTTATTCTTAATGCACCTTTTTCCTCCTTGTTTGCACTTTCTTTAACTTCTATGCCAATATGTGACGAGTAATTTCTCCGCTGTGAGATCAATAAAACTCATCTAATCTAATCTAATCTAATGTGTTTGACAGTGCTGAAAAGCCTGATGTTTAAAGGGGTCATAGAATGCAAAACAGAGTTTATATCGTAATAAATGAATAACAATAGTTCAGTGGGAGAAATGGACATACAGAGAAGTTCTAACCCCACCAACACCTCCTTTCTCTGCAAATCTCACTATTCTAAACTTCCACCATAAAAGGGGCGAATCCAGACGAAGCACCGAATTGACGTCAGTTCGGGGATGTTGCCATATTTGGTTCTGACCTGTACTTTTTTCACGCCCCAAAATTGACATGCAGCCCTGTGGTTCACTGGCCCAAGGGGGGGGGGTATTAGGAAGTGTCGACTGAGAGCCATCCTCAGCTGGAGGAGGGGGACTGGGGGTCGGTAACAGACATCCCAAGTCTCCCAGAAGTAACAGGAGTTTTCTTGATATTGATAGTTGTTCACGGATGCCCGCGAGTCGGATAAATTATCCTGGACTTTAGACTATACAAGGTGATGTTTTTTTAATGTGAGTGAGAGCGTGCAGGCAATACAATAATCCGTGCACCATGTGCGGATTAGAACTACTTTGATTGCGCAGACACAATAAGAGAGAACGGGTGTGGGAAGCAGGTTCTGGTGAAACCTGTGCGTATCTGTCCAAAGCGATGCTCTCTTCAACGTGCGTTCCTGGTGACTGTTTGTCAGAGAGCGTGCTGATTGAATTAGTCAGAAAAATAAACCAAAAGTAGGACATTAGATGTTGAGTGGGTGCTTGTTTCTATGATGCGTCTTTGCTCAGCAGCTTCGCTCGCTGTAAACCAACTAATCAGCACACAGCTCATCTAAATATTCATGAACATACCATAACAGGAGGAAAAACCATCGTTTAATTCTAGGGTTTTTAATCAGGCTTTAATTAGGGCTCATAGAACAGCAAATAGGCCATTTTCAGCGCAACCAATGTTACCCTATTCAGAGACCTCAAGGACCAAGGCAAATGGCAAGGCAAGGCAGGCAAATTTATTTGTATAGCATAATTCAGTACAAAGACAATGCAAAGTGCTTTACATGACCAACACCAAATACCCTATATAATCATTCTATGACCCCTTTAACACCTCAGCAGAGCCACAGGCCACACGCCTCCATTCCACGCTGCGCAGATGCAACAATTTGTGCAAAACCAGCCGCAGCTAATCAACAATTATTTATTGAAAACTGTTTTTGACTATTATATTCTTAAGAAACTGAATTTTTGTTTACCATCAGCTGCCATAACGTTAGAAATTAATGTCTGAAATGTATCGCAGTGTGTAGTTATTAGTGTAATGAAGTCAAACCTTTGAATTGAATCATTGATATAGATCAGGTTTTTAGTCATATTCTAAATTATTAGCAACCAACAGTTTTTAATTTTAGGGAAAATAGCTGGAAAATGTTGATTTATGAGTATAACTAATCAGTCATGACAGAATAAGGATCTTACCTGTAGAGAGGAGGATCACAAAAAACAGCTCATCCATTCTTACTTCAGTTTCCTACAGACACACAGATTAGTTATGAGTCATAAATTATTATTATTATTATTCTAAGTTATTCAAAGTGTTCTGAGACAGATCTGTTTGGTTGCCTTAATACTCAAAATTGGAAATGCCACTAATTAATAAATATTGGAGTTCTTAATTTTTTTTATCTAATATTCTGAAAGCAAAGATCAAGGATATTCAGACTGGGGAACTTTTGATCTGACCAGTCAAGCAAAGGAAGCATTTTTCTCACTCAGTATGTTAATAATTCAACTTAATAAACCTAAATCAAGGTCATGAGATACATTAAATATCATAAATTCAAAAGAAAATGAAATATCTCCATTATCACTGCATGTATGCTCGGTGTGAGGGATTGCTGTTGAGTCAAGGACATGATGCAATCAGTTGGTTTTCCTTAGATTTTAAGCAATCTGACTGTATGATCTGATTGAATTGTCTCTGTAAAACGCCTTGAGACTGAATTCACGCTCTAAAAACTAAACTGAAACACATCAAGAGATGCATAATAAATATGCTTGTGTATATGTTTTTTAAAATAATTTACAAACAACTAGTGGTTGGTTACTGGAAAGTAGGCTGACAGGAAAGGGATTATAAGACAGGGAGAGAGACATGTGGCAATGGACCACAGGCTGCATTCGAAACCGGGATCGGCAGCGTCAAGAAACACTGCGCTACCTAAGCACGTCCACTTGCTGACATTTTAGGAGGTGTATGTTACATACAGACAGAGAATATACTTTAAAAATTAGGAAATCTATACAGAAGAACAAAATTATGTAAAAATTATTCCACAATTCTGGTAAAAATGTCTTTTTACAAATTATAGCTTTGCATGTATTAACAATTTGTTGTTCACATTTTTTAAGATTAGATGTTTAGTTAAGCTTGTTTTGACCCAACAGGAATTTATTGTACATACATTTATAAGATAAAAAGAAAAAAGATTTTTTTTTTTTCTTTGAACTCTTTATCTAACCTGTTTATGGGATTTCTTTTAGATATAATTAGAAACCTAAATGCAAGTACTGTTTCAGTAGCATTGTGAAAAAAAGCCACCAAAAAGAAAATACTTAGAGCAAAGTGTAAGTATTTATCTAAATTACACTTTTTTATTTATTTAAAAAAACTACAGTCTCTGCAAATTAAGTTCAATTGAAGTTTAAACTTACCTAGTTTAAACTTACCTAGAGACTCTAGTCTCTTGAGTGTGAAGACAGAAATAATTGTCCTTCTGCTTTCTCTCTGTCTTCACCTCTGCTTCTTTTCCATCTGTATAAGTTTTTAAAGGATAATGCAAATCAGGACGCAGTTTCCTCCGTAGTGTGTCTGGGCTCTCCCTTAGTGATAGGGTGAGGAGCTCAGTCATCCGGGGAGGACTCAGAGTAGAGCTGCTGCTCCCCCACATCGAAAGGAGCCAGTTGAGGTGGCTCGCCATCTGGTTAGGATGTCTCCTGGACGTCTCCCTGGTGAGGTTTCCCAGGCATGTCCCACCGGGGGGAGGCCCAGGGGGAGACCCAGGACACGCTGGAGGGACTATGTTTCTCAGCTTGCCTGGGAGCGCCTTGGGATTCCCCTGGAGGAGCTGGCCCAAGTGGCTAGGGAGAGGGACGTTTAGGCCTTCCTACTGAAGCATGACCCGATCCTGGATAAGCAGAAGTGGATGGATGGATGGATGGATGGATGGATGGATGGATGGATGGATGGATGGATGGATGGATGGATGGATGGATGGATGGATGGATGGATGGATGGATGGATGGATGGATGGATGGATGGATGGATGGATGGATTTTCAAGTATGACCCAGTCCCCTTGAGGTCTACTTCATGAAACCAAGAACAATGATTAAGTCAAATTTTTCTGGATTTAGTTTACTTGTATTGGTTAATTAAAAACATTTACAAGACATTGAAGGGGAACAGGGTAATTTGCAAGAATATGAATTTGGTTGTTCAGATACTCTGCCCCACAGTCCAATCACAGTAGATGGCAGTAATGTCTCAGAACCTTTTTGCCACCCGACAATGATTCCTAGAAAAAGAAGAAGGCAATGAAGAACTTATTGATTACTGATCGGTGTCACTGCAGACTGATCAGATATTACACCCAGGCCCGGTAGTCGGACTGTTGGGCGCAATCTACCTGCACAGAATAAATATCTGTGGTAACTTATGTGTTACTTCTTTTATGAAACTGAGGTGCGTCGTAAGATGGCCCAGGATGCACTCCATACACAAGGTCGAGCCCACCTTTATCTCTTATCCTGGAATTTCTGCATTAAACTTTTTTGAAACATTCCTCTTCCTTGTGTTTGGTTTAAAGAACACATTTCTTTACATAAAAAAATATTTTAATCTACCATCCATATGCAAACAATGACGTCTCTTTCTAGTCTCTTTCATAGAAATGCACAGCAGAGTTTACATAACTTGACAGATCCCTTTCTTTTTTGAAGATGTGCTTTGCATCATTACTCATGTAAATAATGCTGAACCAGGACCTAAATAAACAGTGAGACAAGCTGACATTTTAAGTGGATTTTCATTCAAATATCTCAAATTGTTTTTTCAAATCACAGTGAAAATACAAAAACGTCTACGTAGATCTGCACAATTTAAAATCCATAAAACTACAGTGCCTCTGAAAGATCTTCAGCCTCAGCCTCTCTCTTTTTTTCATTTAGTCAAACTACAACCACTTACTACCATGTAGTTAAATGTACAGTCATGGCCAAAAGTATTGAGAATGACAGAAATATTATATTTTCGCAGATCTGCTGCCCTCTGGTTTTCATGTGTGCATGTCAGAAGTTGTCATCACATACAGATATACAATTGCAATCATATTATGAGTAACAAAACCTTTTAATGACAGTTAGAATGAGTTAACGGTGCAAGTCAATATTTGCAGTGTTGACCCCTCTTCTTCAGGACCTTTGCCATTCTCCCTGGCATGCTCTCAATCAACTTCTGGACCAAATCCTGACTCATAGCAGTCCATTCTTGCACAATCAATGCTTGCATTTTGTCAGAATTCCTAGGTTTTCGTTTGTCCACCCGTCTCTTGATGATTGACCTCAAGTTTTCAATGGGATTAAGATCAGGGGAGTTTCTAGGCCATGGACCCAAAATCTCTATGTTTTGTTCCCTGAGCCAGTTAGATATCACCTTTGCTTTATGGCAAGGTGTTCCATCATGCTGGAAAAGGCATTGTTCATCACCAAACTGCTCTTGGATGGGTGGGAGAAGTTGCTCTCGTAGGACATTGTGGTACCATTCTTTATTCATGGCTGTGTTTTTAGGTCAGACTATGAGAGAGCCGACTCCCTTGGCTGAGAAGCGACCCCACACATGAATGGTTTCAGGATGCTTTACAGTTGGCATGAGACAAGACTGGTGGTAGCGCTCACCTCGTCTTCTCCGAACAAACTGTTTTCCAGATATGCTAAACAATTGGAAAGGGGATTCATCAGATGAAATGACTTTACCCCAGTCCTCAGCAGTCCACTCCCTGTACTTTTTGCAGAATATCAATCTGTCCCTGATGTTTTTCCTGGAGAGAAGTGGCTTCTTTGCTGACCTCCTTGAGACCAGGCCTTGCTCCAAGAGTCTCGGCCTCACAGTGCGTGCAGATGCACTCACACCTGCCTGCTGCCATTCCTGAGCAAGCTCTGCACTGCTGGTAGCCCGATCCCGCAGTTGAAACACTTTTGGGTCCTTGAAAGGCAACATGGCAGTAGGCCATATATGACCGAGAACTAGCGCTACTTGCTGTCTGATCAAGGGTACTACCCACAAGTCACAGATCATTTTTACCTGTGTGACATTTGTGTCAAAAGTAAAAAAGAAGACGTAAATTGTAAAGTTGAATTTGTGGCTCACAGCAGCAGATTCATGCAGTTGTATTCATTGATTTGTATATGTGTTAAGGAAAAAAAAAAAAAAAATATATATATATATATATATATATATATATAATATTATAAAATGACTGACAATGATAATTTATACATTTTTGTAAAGCAGTCCTGTAAGGACTATGAAATAATCTGAAATTGTACAGACTAAGCTCTTTAACCCATATAGTTTAAGTATTGAAAAAGAAATACTCTAAGGAGGAATAAGTCTGGAAAAATGTACCTTACCATGGGCTGAATTCAGCCATTGGCCTTTCCCAATCAGTGGCTACTCCTTCCCCCTACCCACGACTCATTCCATTTGGACATCCCTGCGGAAGATCTGCCATATTAAATCCTGTCTAAAACCAGTTAAGTACAAGTGCCTTATAAGCCTCTCCACAGCAAGTAAGGACCTGTTTCTCACCAAACATCAGGATCAGCAACAAAATGTGGTTGGCAAGTGTAAATCCACGTATCGATTGCACACATTCTATAAGTAAAGAAACTACTTATTAGGTGCATGTTAAAAGTTTGCTGCAAGAGCTAGGATTGCTACCATGGTGATGACAGCTTTCTGTTTTGTTTGTGAGAGGAAAGGCTGTCTCAAAAGCAAATTTTGTAGTTATAGCCTCTAGCGCCATCAAGAGGGCTCAGTTCAACTGCGAAGGTGATTTACAGCAGGTGTAGTGTGTAGTGAGTAGAGGTAGGGAGAAGCAACTGATTGGAAAGGGCCTTCAACTTCAGCAGTCACCAAAAGTTATTTCATGGGTAATGAGTCATAAGAAGTAATAAAAAATACTGACCTATGAACTGGAGGAGTCAGTATTCACCTAAACTTCATGCACAATAAGCATATTTTCAGTCTTTTTATTTGATAATTTTCTTTTAGATATTGTCATTTTGAAATCTCTTTGAGGTTTGTTTGAATGTGTATTGGCTGCCAGTGGATTAGGGAGTTTGGGGACACTTTCTAAGGTTTAAGAGACTTAAGCTTAAGCTACAACAAAGTCTCTGTTTAATTCATAAAAAAAAACCTGCAGACATTTTGACTGAGTTCTTAACTGCTAATTTTTGAAAAACCTGTAGTAAAAACATGTCAAAATAAACAATTAATTGAATTAGGAGCACCTTTTTCAAGTGCAACATACATACACATATATATATATATATATATATATATATATATATATATATATATATATATATATATATATATATATATATATATATATATACACTATATTGCCAAAAGTATTTGCTCACCTGCCTTGACTCACATATGAGCTTAAGTGACATCCCGTTCCTAATCCATAGGGTTCAATATGACGTCGGTCCACCCTTTGCAGCTAGAACAGCTTCAACTCTTCTGGGAAGGCTGTCCACAAGGTTTAGGAGTGTGTTTATGGGAATTTTTGACCATTCTTCCAGAAGCGCATTTGTGAGGTCGCACACTGATGTTGGACGAGAAGGCCTGGCTCTCAGTCTCCGCTCTAATTCATCCCAAAGGTGTTCTATCGGGTTGAGGTCAGGACTCTGTGCAGGCCAGTCAAGTTCATCCACACCAGACTCTGTCATCCATGTCTTTATGGACCTTGCTTTGTGCACTGGTGCACAGTCATGTTGGAAGAGGAAGGGGCCAGCTCCAAACTGTTCCCACAAAGTTGGGAGCATGGAATTGTCCAAAATGTCTTGGTATGCTGAAGCATTCAGAGTTCCTTTCACTGGAACTAAGGGGCCAAGCCCAGCTCCTGAAAAACAACCCCACACCATAATCCCCCCTCCACCAAACTTTACACTTGGCACAATGCAGTCAGACAAGTACCGTTCTCCTGGCAACCGCCAAACCCAGACCCGTCCATCAGATTGCCAGATGGAGAAGCGCGATTCGTCACTCCAGAGAACGCGTCTCCACTGCTCTAGAGTCCAGTGGCGGCGTGCTTTACACCACCGCATCCGACGCTTTGCATTGCACTTGGTGATGTATGGCTTGGATGCAGCTGCTCGACCATGGAAACCCATTCCATGAAGCTCTCTGCGCACTGTTCTTGAGCTAATCTGAAGGCCACATGAAGTTTGGAGGTCTGTAGTGATTGACTCTGCAGAAAGTTGGCGACCTCTTCGCACTATGCGCGTCAGCATCCGCTGACCCCGCTCCGTCAGTTTACGTGGCCTACCTCTTCGTGGCTGAGTTGCTGTCGTTCCCAAACACTTCCATTTTCTTATAATACAGCTAACAGTTGACTGTGGAATATTTAGGAGCGAGGAAATTTCACGACTGGATTTGTTGCACAGGTGGCATCCTATCACAGTTCCACGCTGGAATTCACTGAGCTCCTGAGAGCGACCCATTCTTTCACAAATGTTTGTAAAAACAGTCTGCATGCCTAGGTGCTTGAATTTATACACCTGTGGCCATGGAAGTGATTGGAACACCTGATTCCAATAATTTGGATGGGTGAGCAAATACTTTTGGCAATATAGTGTATATACATACACAGTATATACTCAATTTCAAGTTACACAGGATTGAATTCAAAAGCTTTATTTTAACTGTAAATATGTATAATATACCATGAAATTTAATTTACCTTAATCAAAGAATAACTGTTTTGCTTTTTAAGGTTTAAAATCATGATCAATTATGAAAATAATGATTATCATCTTGGTTATATAATCCGGAGTAAAATAATAAAGCCTATTTATTGTTTTTAAAGTTTAAATAACCTACTGAACAATCATAAATGCTCCAATTAAGCTCACAAAGATAAACATCAAAAGTAATTAAACATTTATGAAGGGAGAGCCTGATCTAATCTTGAAAACACAGATTTTAAATTTGTAGTGCACTAGATGTACTGTGTTCTCTGAACAGAGGCAAATACAGCCTCAGAGATTTCCGATCCATTCAAATCAAACTGGACTTGTTTGAATAGTGTGACAGAAACCCTTTAGGGCTTCTACCAAAGGTTACACCCCTAAAACAACAAAACATCAGGCAGCTCATATTATGAAAGACATTTCACTCTAAAAGAGAAAAGACATGTACGGTGTAGCATTATTTTTACATCTTAGCTTTGAGATCATAAGTACTCAATATTTTGTAAATTCATATATCACTGTCTTTTTTGGATAACGGTATTTTTTCAAATGCTAACTCTGAAGATTCCAAATATTTTCCATATTAATTCTATAATTAGAATTTAGCAATCGCTCCTCTCTCTCTCCTCTTTCCTCCGCTGCAGACATGCAGACAGCCTCGTGAAACTACAGTAAAGTTGGCAATATATTTACAGATTCGGCTTTTCCGGAATAATAACTCGTTGGCGGATGATTTATTCTACAAAACAGACACCTCTCAGCAACCACAGCAAGGCAGACAGTGAGCTACAACCGAATTTTCCCAAAAAACTCCTATCCCGCTGGGAGAATTACATTGGACCCTATGCAGAGCTGGCTGCTCGGCAAATGCTCTGTCTGCAACTTGCAAAATAATCAGAGAGAAATATTCAAAAGCAGCACCAAGAAGAGGTGGATTATTATCACATTTATTGGATTTGAAAATAATACTTTTCTGAGGAATTTCCAAATGCCACCTCTATTTTATTATTGGAATAAGTATAAAATGAGCAATGACTACACTATAGATCATTGTAGTGCCTCCAAACGTGTATCACACATAGATAACCTCATAACCTCAACTCTTACTTTGGGAAAATGTGCTAAACTCTATTTTTTAGATTTTTTCATTGTTATTATAAGCAGGCCAGGTGTGCAATCTCTGTAACAGGAACCACAGCACTGAGCGTTGTGTGCCCTGCATAAAGTATACCTGTCACAAATGCAGGAAGGACTCACCTTGGGTTTGTGGAAACTGCTAAATGGGACAATTGTAGCTTCATATGTAGTGCTTTTCCTTGGGTGAAATAAATGTTACTCCAATACTGAAATCATACTGTTTGTCATTTTTTAAGCTGAAATGTTGAAAGACATGAAAAGGTGAGAACAGACAAAATACCATTATTCTCTAATTTGTTCTTTCTTTCACATAGTGAGCTTTGCAATATAAATTAGTCTGTTGGTGAATCGTGAATGCACAATATGAATAGGCCTTGTTGGAAAAGCATGATTATAACCTATTCTCAGCTCAGGAACTAGGACCCATATGATATCAGGTTGATCAATAGGTTTGCCTAAATAAAAGATTTAGATATGACTAATCAAGATATTCCTGCAAAAAGGTTTGATGTTGCAGGGGAAGGTACAAGGACAGTTAGCAAAGCTAACTTGAAGAGGGGAGGGGGGCTTGCAGGAAAACTGAAATTCTCCAGGACATCTAGTGTTAAAGCAAATGATGATATCTTTCAATAAAAGCAATACTGATGACTCCTAATGGTGCTTATGGCAATTCAATATCAGGCACAGTATCTAAAACTTCACCATTTTTTAACTGAGAGTTGATTTAAAGATAGCATTACAGGAGCTATATATTTTGGGGATACTATATTTTGGGATGGGCAAGCATACATTTCATGCACGAAGCAATGAGAACAATTCATTTTACTTCATCTGCAATAAATACATTAGATGGAGCTGCACACTTAATACGATAGTTTATTGGAGATAACACATATAAGAGGAGATTATGTTTCCTTGGATCTGGTGATTGATTGGTTCTGGGGATGTTAGAACAGAATTTTCGTTGTTGTTTGTTTTTTCATCTGATAATTTTTTTTTGGAGAATATTTTAAATGGGCTATAGCTGGACTTTTTGCATAGAGGAGGTGAAGTCGAATTCAGCATTTTCAGGAACTGTGAATTGCCCAGTTTTGAGAATGCAGCAGCAAGTCAGAGTACAATCCTGTGCTCTGAGCAGATGAACAATTCAATATGACATTTCCTCTTGAAGGGAGGAACACCTTTTTTTTCCTTCTACCTCTATGTGATACTGCTGATGACACAGATAAAGACTTATCCTTCAGGGGGTGTGGGGACACCTGGGCCCCAAGACTCTTATGGTTCAAAGCTGCTGTGGTAACAGAGGGTAACCTGATGGACTTGTCCTAACATTGCACTGTTTTGCATGTTGGAGAGGATCACTGCTCTCTTCCAAGACCAGTAGCAGGATGGCTCCTGACCAGTTTTCCACATATAGATCCACTCACATAGATTAACAGATTAACTGTTCGCAGATGCTGCTGCTGCTCTCTCCTTTGCAAAGGCGAATTGAAGCTTCACTGTCCAGCATTCTTTATTTCATTCCATCTAACCCTAACCCATGACGGTTTTCAACAGTGTCCTGTTAAATCCAGAATAGTATTTAAAATCCTCCTACTTACATATAACGCTTATATTATATACATCTTATATCACAGATCTGATTGTACATTATACTCATAACAGAGCACAATCTGCAGGTTCCTAGAATTTCTAAAAGTAGAATGGGAGCCAGATCTTTTAGTTATCAGGCTCCCCTCCTGTGGAACCAACTACTAGTTTTAGTCTGTGGGGCAGACAGCCTGGGTGAGCTTGATTTCAGTGGCTGTGTCCTTCCTTGAGATGATATGTTGTGAATTGGTGTTTTGAATGAGTGAACAGAATCTTGATTAGTTTTACAAAAACACATTACATGACTACAAGCAACTTGGTAATGATGAATTTAAAAAAGTATCTGAATTTATGTTTTCATCCAATTTCAAATGCCTTAGGCTGAAATAAAACTGATATGTAAATTGTCGCCATAGCTAGACAAAACAGCTTATGCTAAATATAAACAGTGTGTTCACAGAGTGTCAACAAACCCTTCTTTTTAGGCATAATATCTGTGTTCAGTATACCAAAAAAATGTGAATAGTTTGAATGTTTGCTTTGTTGGGAGACATAATCAAGACATAATCAAGCTTTGCTATTTCTTCGTTGATACAATTAAGCTTGTTAATATGCTTAATATGAATATGTTCTGAGAAGCAGTAAAAACAAAATCTTGTTTTAAAACTGTACCTGCTTTTGCAAGACCTTACACAATTATTTTAAAGTACCATGGAGAACCTTCACAGATTTACCTCAAGTTTAAAATTTGCATATGGAAATAGATAAAGCTCTGGAATTTTAAGGAGACATCTTCATTTCCATCCACAAAAAGAGAGGTTCGCATCATACCAGCAAGCAGCCAGCAAGTAAGTTTTTCCTTTAAATGTTAACAGGGTTATAATAATTAGAATAAAAATGATTATTGAGCTACAGTTAGTTGTTAAATTCAATCTACAGAGCAGTTATCTGTTGTTTTACATTGAGATATATTGACAGATTTCAGCTTAAAATGATTGACAGCAAAAAAACAAAAAAAACAACCTTCTAATATTTCCTCTAGTTTAAAGTTATTTTCACATTTTGAGATGGGGTTTACTGTATTTTTAAGTAAGGAAATTGTTAAAAATTAAGGGAGAAACAACAAACTTTAGATGTTGTTTATATACTGTATATATATATATATCTCCATCAGTCAATGGGCGAGAGGCGGGCAACCCCTGGACAGGTCGGCAGTCCATCGCAGGGCAACACAGAGACAATCAGGACAAACAACCATTCAAGCACACACTCACACCTAAGGAGAATTTAGACAAGTCAATTAACCATCATGTTTTTGGACTGTGGGAGGAAGCGGGACAGAACCCACGCAGGCTCAGGGAGAACATGCAAACTCCATGCAGAAAGACCCCGTGCCGGGAATCGAACCTAGAACCTTCTTGCTGCACGGCAGCAGTGCTACCCACTGCCAACTGAACAGCCCCATATATATATATACATATATACATATATCTATGTAGATACAAATATGTATCTAGATACATATATGTATATACACATATACTGTATACGTATATACATATATATATATCATATACTGATATATATAAACCTATATATAACTTTTTTGATTTTTTTTGCAGTTATGCAGAGGTTCTACATTTTACTTCTTTTTTTTTCAGAAAATCAACAATGAATCAACAAATGTCTTGGTTAACTCTCATCCTTTTTGGTAAGAACCTTGAAAGCTGCTAAATCTATATATATATATATATATATATATATATATATATATATATATATATATATATATATATATATATATATATATATATATATATATATATATATATATATACGCACCACACTATATATAAAAACTCATAAATGCATAAATAAATAAATTAGTACATAAATACGCTTTGGTTATGAAAAATGCTAATTCTGTGTTGTAACTTTTATTTGTCTAATAATAATAATAATTTAACTTTTTTCAAACACTTAGGGCCGGATTTATCAAGATCCAATTTTGCGTGCAGTAATTTTGCGCTCGCAAAGTGGAATTTTGCGCGAGGGGCTGAACCATGGTTTGCGGGTGATTTAACAAGAGCGATTGCGTAACTGGTGGCAGGCGCAAAACTGTTGGAGACGCCCTATTTAAATGATGGTTTTGCGCGTTTTGTGGTTTGCGGCAAAGTAGTTTGTGCAAACTAGTGCATTAAGAAATTTTAATCTTACAGTGACACCACCCCCTCCAAAAAAAGAAATATATATATATATATATATATATATATATATATATATATATATATATATATATATATATATATATATATATGTATATATATATATATATATATATATATATATATATATATATATATATATATATATATATAAACTTTGGCAACCTTTATTCCCTAAGGTGGTATGTGGCTGAATTTCTACTTCACCGCAGTAAGAAAAAAACACACAAACAAAAAAAAAAAAACAGGTGTTTTGTATCGGCCTGTAGAACAATGCACATACCAAATGGCTCACAAGAAGTGACTGTGGATAAGATGACTGCATTGGCATGTTGCTCCACAGGCGCAGGGTGTCGGGGTTCTCCGATAGGGCGTCAGGGCGACATGGCATTTAGAACGTCGGACAGCACTTCTGAAAAACGAGATTGGGAGATCCCAGATGCAAAAAAGTGCAATGTTGCGAGGAGTTTTGTGATATCTGGTATTGCGTGGGTCCTCCTTGTGGCTGGCTCCAAATCCATTCGGAGTTCCCCCAACAGCTCCAAAATGGCAATGCCGGATAAACGATATGTTTTGATGATCGTTTCCTCGTTCATTCCAAAAATATTCACACGGAGTGAAAAAATGCGTTCTCTGCGTCTCATTGCTTCATTTCGATGTCTCCTTCTTGCGACAATAACCGCTGCCATGTGTGCGCAATTACGCATACAGACCATTTGCACCTTCTTTTGAAACGTGTTAAATATAGAGTCAGATACCGTTAGCAAAATTGCTTTCAGGTTTGATAAATCACTTTGCGAGTGCTAAATTAATATATTTACATGTTCTCCTCCCACAAGACGCACTTTTGCGTGTAAACGCCCTATATTGAATATTCATTGCAGAAAAAGTACTAAATGGATAAGAGGCGCTATTTAGCACGTTTTAAAGACCAAATCCTTTTAGCACGCTGTTGATAGATCAGTTTGTACATTTTTTAGCGTGCGCAGTGAAATAGCTCACGTTTTAATACACGCAAACCTTTGATAAATCCGGCCCTCAATGTAGTATTTCGGAAAGCGTCACCAGCACAGGAGATTGTATTTACTTAGCAGCACAGTTTTTAGAGCATATCTTCCTCTTCGAGGGATTTCTGCAATAGGATTAACTTTTTCTTGTGGATCACAGTTCTTGAAATACTAAAAGGAAAACATTTATTTTAAGAAACTGAACTAATCAAAGAAGAAAAAAAATAACAAAGGTTTAAATAAAAATGAATCATTGGCTACTTAATATTGATTTAAAATATAATTTTAAATTATGAAATTGTTAAATATTAGATAATCATTTTTTCTATTTAACAAACAAAAAAATTATTAATTTGGTCAACCCATAAGGTGCTCATTAAACCTAAAGCATATTATCTTTTTTAAATCTTCAGGGTTTTGCCTCACCTTCTGTTCCGAATTCCCTCTGCGTAAATACTACTACGTGGACAAGTCACTGACCTGGTATGAAGCTCAGCAATACTGCAGGGAGCATTACTCAGACCTGGCCACATTTGAGAGCATGGATGACATAAACAGGCTGGAAGCTCCTTTTTCTTATCAATATGCATGGATTGGCCTCTGGGATGACCCAAACTCATGGAAACATCAAATGGGCAATGAGTCCAACTCCTGGAGATGGTCTGCGACTGGAGAAACAAGTAAAACTGGCTATCAATCATGGGGTTCTGGTGATCCTGACTTCAAGGATGGAAAGGAAACTTGTGTGATGACGTCCAATGAGGGAGCGTGGTATGATAAAAACTGTGAACACGAGCTTAATTTTATTTGTTACATCGGTGAGAAATATTACATCTCTATATATACGTTAACCAAAGCTGTTAAAATAAATAGAATGTATGAAATTAAAGCCAAATACAATCATGTTTGTCTTTCTTAATAAAATATATTTTTTTAGGATGGATTTCAATTAAAGTTAGTACAACTATTGCATTTTCATTCTGTGTTGTTTTGCAGGTATGGAAAAAAATGTAAAACAATATGAGTACATCTCAGATCTAAAAACATGGGGCTCTGCTCAGACCTACTGCCGAACACACTACACTGACTTGGCAACAATTGAGAACGAAGCAGAAAACCTTGAAGTCAATAATATAATTCCTGAGGGCGTCAAGGTTTGGATCGGCCTGTACCGCATACCTTTTTTGTGGTCAGACAAAAGTGCAAGTTCCTTCCAAAATGATTATCAGGATTTCCACCATACTAACATACAAGGCGTTCAACACTGTGTCCTGGAGTATCCGTATCATGGCTGGGATGATGAAGCCTGTGATAAAACTAATGTTTTTATCTGCCAACAAGGTAATGCTTAAAATAGGCATTTAGAAGCATGAAATCCAGACATCTTATTCATTCTTTTTACATAAATTATTTGTTTATTTAGTGGTAAAGATGGCCACCACTGTAAAGATGGCCGTTGTGACTGGTGCCGACCTGACTGATCCAGACATCAGCGCCCAGGTCCTTCAGCAGGTACAGCAAGCGGGTTCTCTGACTCACTATTGTTTTGTTTAATAAGTAAAAGGGACTAACTAAAGTGTATGTTGTTTCCCCAGCTTGGTGCTTTACTAAAAAGTCAGGGATGGGCTGATTTCAAGATACAATGGAAGATGAAACCAAAGAAAATGAGAAAAAATGAAGCCGGAGCACCTTAATGTAGCATATTTGGTTAATGTCTTCAGCAAATGTATGTTGCTTGTCTCTTTGGGGTTTAAATATATATATATATATATATATATATATATATATATATATATATATATATATATATATATATATATATATATATATATATATATATATATATATATATATATATATAGATATATATATATATCTATATATATATATATATATATATATATATAGATATATATATATATATATCTATATATATATATATATATATATATATATATATAGATATATATATATATATATATATATAGATATATATATATATATATATATATATATATATTAGTGCTGTCAATCGATTAAATTTTTTTAATCGCGATTAATCGTATCTATGCCTGAGTTAACTCGCGATTAATCGCATTTTAATCGCAAATTTTTTTTATGATTGAAAATCATTTAAATACTCTCGATGACATACAAAAAATACATACAGGCTAGGTTTGTGCCAATGTTCTTTTTTTAAAATGAAAACAGGTCACAGACACTGATTTATGCCATAGAAACATATGGCAAGAAGATGGGGAGGCATGTAGCAAAAAATAACAAATATGTAGCCAAAAAAAAGGCCCTGAAAACAGGCTGATGTAAAAGACAGTCATTACAGTTAATACAGTCTTTTGAACAAAGACAAGCATTTTACCCTACTGCTATAAAATGTAGTACAGTTAACATTAGATGTTAATTAACCAAGATAATAATGAACAATTTTCAATCAATACATCAAAATCAATAGACCGACATCACTAGATGGAGGTAGTCTATGCTCTAGAAAGTTACTTTTCAGCCTCTTAACAAAAATGAGAACACACACACACCCACCCACCCACCCACACACAGACACACCCACCCACACACACACACACACACACACACACGATACTGACCTGTGGCGTACACAGACAGCAAGAGTGCCGTAGCAGATTCCATTTCACCTCAGTAATCTGTTTTCTCAGCGTATTTCAGGTTGCTACTAGTTACCAGACACTCAACTTGTTTGTTGGTGGTGGGGCTTAAAGAAAAGGCACTAGCGCTACCCAGTGTATGAGCGTCTTTTTTCCTTGAGGAGCTCCGCTCTCGAAGCCTATGGAAGATGCATAGACTGGGGGAAAATAGCCCTGCCTTTCCGCAGGCTGCAGCGGGATGTACTTGGAAAATTGTACCATAAAACCACATAGCGTTAATCTCACGTTAAAAAAATTATAGCCGTTAAAATGGCCTTGCGTTAACGCGATAATAACGCGATAATTTTGACAGCACTAATATATATATATATGTATATTAGGGATGGAACGGTTTATGAAAACTGTCCAAACAGTTCGATTCGACTGTCTCGGTTCGATTCGCGCGTGTTTCGTTCGGTTCATGCGCTGCTCCTTTTTCTCATAGGCGAAGCGTGTACACTCCAGAGCAGAAGGTGGCGCCACTGCGACCAAAGCCAACCACCAGTAGTAAACAAGACGAAGAAGCGAAGCAGCGTAGCCGGGAGTAGCAAAAAAAATCAGTTGTTGTGGAGTTTTGTGTGGGTACGGCGAGTGGGAAAGAACAGGAGTTGGAAGACGCGCCAGCAGCACTTTATAGGTCTGCTGTATGGGACCACTTTGCATTTAGAGCGACCTACGATGACGGCGGAAAGAAAGTTGTGGATGAAAAACAGTGTGCAAGCATTGTGCAACACGTTTTGTTTATGCTAACAGCAACACGACCAACATGTCAGGCTAACAATCAACATCTACCGAACCGAACCGAAAACCGTGACCACGAAACCGTGAACTGAACCGTGGTTTTTGTGAACCGTTCCAACCCTAATATATATATATGTATATACACATATACGTATATATATATACATATATATATATATATATTTTTTTTTTTTTTTTTTAGTTTTTCTTACATTTTTCAAGTGTTACAAAACATACGTTTTGTACAGATATTGTTTGTTTTAACAGATGTCTATTGATGTTAAAAGTTTTATAACATATTTTCAGTATAGACTATGGACAAAACTGTTGAAACCCCTTGTTTAATTGAGGATAAACCCACAATTGTAAAATAAATACCTTGAATCTGACTAAATTAATAGTAGAAATTCTAGAATATTCTACAACTGAAAGTCAGAAATTGCCTTCAATGACACTTATACATAACGATTAAAAGAATTAAACTTATGAAACAAGCCTGGGGAAAAAATGGTACATGATGTGAATGAAAAGCAGATAAAAAGTCTCCCTTATGATAAACATCACTCTGCTGGGACCTTGGAACAAGCGGACTTGAAACATGAGTACCAGGAACAAAGACAGAATAAACAAATAATACAGACAGCCAGAATGGTCAATGGGGGAAATAAAGGTCAGATCCGGCATTGCTTTGGAGTACAGTGACTACTCCTCAGACCACAACAAAACAGCGAACAGTCCCCACAGAAATATGTCCTTTCAACTTCACCCCCACAAGCTCCCCTCCACACAATCTCCTGTATCCAGCCCAACACTACAGCTGAATCTGTCCCCTCACCATGAAGTCTCAAAATCTTCTTGCAATCTTCTAAAATTCTTGTGATGTATTTTGGGTTCCAGTAGTAACTTTATCAGAAATGATTCTCTCAAAGGACAAGGTGGGACCTCAAAAGGAAAATGAATATAAAACCTCAGTTTCAATTAGTGTTGCACTGATACCGATACCGATACCAGCATCGGGCAGGGCCCCGATCCAGCACTAAAATGATGTTATCTGTATCGGCGAGTACTAACAAATAGGGTTCCGATACAATTTTGAGAGCCAAATATTTATTCAACTATTGTCACCGCTTCCAGGTAGGCAATAAAAATTCTACTGGATTCACTTTGTATTAGTCTTTTTCCTTCTTCACAAAGGTAGGCAGCAGCTTGACAAAGCCATGATGGTAATTATTTTACATCCAAGTAGTATGCAGTTCTTCATATATACACACACACACTATCAAACAGATGGTATCCAGTATGGTATCGGTATCGGACAATACTGCCCAGCCAGGTATGAGGTATCAGTATTGGGGCCAAAAAATGGCATCTGTGCAACAAAAGTTTTAATATGTGGCAGAAATAACAAAGCTAAAAAGTAGTAGTAAACAACCCGACATAAAAACTATGCAATGTGGAGCTCAGCTAGAGAGGTAATCAACCAAGGTATTTAAACTGGCTTTAATCAGCATAAAATATCTGTCAGGAAACTCATTTTTAATCAATGGCTTAATTAAGCAGCAAAATCTTGATTTCATATTCCTAACAGAGACATGGCTAGATTAAAGTAATGAGATGGTGATTTTATTGGAGACCACACCGCCCAATTACAATTTTCTCCATCAGGACAGACTGTTTACAAAGGGGAGGGCTTGTTACTCTGTTTTATGATTCACTAAAGTGTAGAAAAGTGATCATGGGTGAATTTCGGAATTTTTACTGGCTTCCAGAGTCAAAAATATATATATTTTTTAATGATTTAAATGAACTTTTATCTGTGATATGTGTTGGACGTGACTACTTAATTCTTGTGGGAGACTTTAATGTACATGTTGAAAACTCTGAAGAGAGAAGTGCAAAAGAACTGTGTGGCATGGTTCCACATTTTGGTTTGACTCCACATATTAAACAACCAACACACAAACAAGGACATATTTTGGACTTGGTGATCAGTAAAGTTGCCCATCACCCATTGACTGCTGGAGATAGGCACCAGCACCCCTCGTGACCCCACTTGGGACAAGCGTGTCAGATAATGGATGGATGATCAGTAAAGTTCTAAATATTTCTAATGTTTCAGTAGCACTGTTGTTGTTCTATAAGACCATTTATTTGTTTTCTTTTAAACCATTCACTGCATGAAAAGTGAGATTTTCGTCCCCGTAAACCCCCGTAAACTCCCGCAGATCTGCCTGATTTTCTTCAGTTTCCGACAATTTGCAACCCGTGCTTGTCCGCGTTTGTCGTGCCACAAATTGTCGGAAACGTACCGTGACGTATGTGGAGAGCGATCTGCTGTACTAATGGCCCTAATTAGCATATGAATGCAGCAAACCCGCGCGGCTGGCCAGGTCTGGCTT